AACTTTTAGTTGTTCACAGAGGTGGGCGCTAGATGAACGTATTCTTTGTGCGCCAGGGCCGTTGATGTGCAGTTTTTATTCATTTTAACGATTGTGTCAAACACCGACTCATGTTCCTCCTTTTGTGACATTTCTACTTTTTCCTGTTATCGAACTCACGTGAATATCTCCATTTGCCGACTTTTTTGTCATTCCCACTTTTCTCCGGCACGTTTTTATTTCCAAACTTTTCGCGAGTCAGCAGCGAAACTGATGACACGGCCCTGTGCCGAATCTTGACGGATTGTCCTGAATTTCAACGAGTAGCACTTTTGTGTCTGACAATGGATCTTTGTGTGTAAAGGATGAAAGAATATCTGTGATTCGCTCATTCTTAGAAACCGGCAATTTCTAGTGTTTATATTCCAACAAAGAAATGTACGTTTTGGAGTCTCAATGTCATCAATGTACCCGGGAAACAAACATGTTACAGTTTGAATTTACATGTTTTATGTAAAACGTAATGTAAGAATGTGGGAAATATACACAGTTGTATTCCAGAACAAATGGTACATCCACGAATAATGTATAATTTCTATCAGAACCAATGCGCATGTCAAAATCTATCCCACAATTTTTCACATTTCAGAACTGATTTATTACAAGAGTATATGCATAGTTTCAGGAATGCATGTGTAATTGATGCAGTGATATGGAAGTCTCTGAAATAATTTTGAAGATTGTGAAAGGGCCATGATATATGTCTGGAACTGCCCTTCAAAGCTCGAAGCACTCACATTGTCGAAACACAAACGATGTGACACATCTAAAAAAATATCAGTTTTGATTAGAGAAAGAAGTCTATTGTCACAAGCTAAGATTTTATAAAGATATTTTTAAAAAAACGCGATTTGTATAAAAAAACTTTGTCGTTTATAGCGAAATAAACTCATTAGTTCCAGTTAAAACTTGGAAAATAAGTTTGTTTAAGAGCGTCACTTTCCTTGTGCACCGACAATGCAATGAATGAACAAATTAGATGAGAAATGAGATATTGGGTGGAACGAACATCTTATATTTACCATAATAATAATATAATTATATTATGACAATGCATTGATAATGTAAGCGAGGTTCAAATAAATAATTTGAACCAATTCCCCTCCACGCCCACGAACGTTACAAAATATCTTGCGTTATTTTATTCAGTTACAGTCAACTAAAGGAGCCAATCGGATAAGGCGAGAGAATCGTAATATCGCTGTTTAGAGCGCTATGAGCTCTTTGGATATGAGTGTATGTGGACGCTTAAGTGAGTGAGTGTGAATGAAGGGGTAAGTGTGTGAGTGCAATCACGTGTGTGAATGCGTGTAAAGTGAGTGCGTGTAACGTGTATGTGTTTGAGACTGAGTGTATGTTTATGTGTGAGCTCGAGGGCAAACATCAGGATAGTATCACTACTCACGAGCATGTTTACCAATGAGCATAATTGGTACATACAATCCACGGAAACGGAAATTGTTAACCCTCTCTCAACGTCAATTTCTTTTTCTTCGTGCATGAAAAATGATGTAGGCTCACGCAGATGCTGTCGATGTGGTCAATTGATGTACCAGTAGTGAAATAACTCCCCCCCCCTCCGTTTGTAGTTTTCTGAGCGCGCTGCCGCTCTCGTAGCGATGTCCCAGTTACCGTCACCTGGGCGTCAACGAGCCCTCGACCCGTGCGTTGCGACGAGCTTCGTGCGCGCGCGCAACTGTACTTGCGCTGCGTAACTGCGCATGCGCCGCCGGTGCGAACGGAGATGCAATGAACACCGCCCCCGCCCCCGCCCCCACCACGGGGGCCGCTGCTGAGGCGGCGCGGCCCAGACAGATAAGAACGCGCTGAATGATTCAAGAGGTACGTGGGAAGTTATCTCCGTGTTCGGTGGGAGACAGCAACGTCTTCTACCCGGATATGCGACTACTTTCAGCCGCAAAAGAAACTTAACAAAAAATTTCACTCCGTGACTCCTTAGATTGATTTGATAAGTGGTCATAAACTTTCTTACACATGTACAGTATAATCTTTACATACTTAACATTCTATAATTTGTACTGATTGATTCAGTTCGCAATTATTTCATGACAAAAGGACAAGACCTCATTCTCATTTTTATAGGCTGCAGATGCAATCTTCGTTAGTGAATACTAATACTCGAATTGAAATGTTTTACTTCTTCCCATCTTTCTTCTCCACATTCTCCGTGATTTTATCATTTAAAACGTAAACTGAGATTTACTGAGTGAATTTCATTCAAATATATTGTAAATAATTATTTTTAACATTAAATGGCTATGATTACTGTACAGATTACGCACGCGAGTCTAAATGTAGCCCTTATTGTATATTCATTATGCAACGTTGTATGACATGAATTCTGCAAGTGAAATTGAGAAATGTGTTCGATCCTTCGGACACGCAGGTAGTATGCGAATATATGAAAGGCATTTCTATATTGTCATTTCATGAGGTTTAAGGAAGACACCCTTCCTCTTGGAAGCAATTTGAGGAACATTTCGGCAAAGTGAAACATTATATAGATATGAATTTTAGAAATTCTTATTCATAATTCACTTCTCTCACAACAAGTAGCGCAAACTGCATACTCTAATCCGATGCCAGAGGGCACACAACTAGCCGAGTGAGGTAAAATAAACCCGCATTCAAAATAGCATTTATTGTAAGAGCAAATGAAGATTCAAACGTTACAATACAAAAATAGCAGTTTACCTGATTATTCTCTATTAATTACTATTGGGTGCGTGAAATGAATAACATGAGATCTTGGAGGATCAGATGATGACATAGTTACTTGGAAATGCACATTGTGAGTGTCGGCGTGAGGCGTTAAGCGAAGAAACCGATTCTCACGCCGCCTTCTCGTTGAAGGGGGCGAGCAGCAGGCGGCGAGGCCCCTCCCGGGCGGCGAACGAGGGCCTCTGCCTCTGCGCCTCCACGCCAACGACAGTACAAGAGACCACCCACACGAGCAGGAGAATATCTAGTTGCGTTGGCTTTCGTGCAACAAGTCCCCTCTAAAACGTGCCGGGGCAGTAGGTCGCTCGTTCTGCCAATGTGATAGAGGCAGCGGACAGAATCTGATTCAAAATTAACCGAATTTGGTATGCGCCTTTTTGATCCGTTTTAATCAGCTACCCAGCGCATAGGGACTTCTGGCTGCTTAGATTCGAGTAATTGGCCACCTAATGTCTTGTGTGGCCGAATATACAATAGATCCCCCTCTACCTCTTCATTTGGTAATTTTCAGAAGCTACATTGTACATTCGTGCGTTCTCTAACACTTCGAAATCATTTGTTAAAAGGAAGCATGTAAATTGAGACCACGTGTTGAATTTTTCCACTTTTTCTTAATGATAAACTCAGTCCATTAATTTCCTACATGCTCCTACCCTACCCTAGTCCCTACCCTACAATGTTGAGCAACAGTGGACGTAATTAACTCTCGTTTCTAGAGCACCGCGAACACAATCGACAGTAGCCATCGCTAACATATTTTACTCGATCACCCGAAGCAACGGGCACTTCGTGCGTATGCAACTACGAATCCACAACGGAGACGTAGCCAGGAAGGTTCCAGGTTCAAGCCCCGACTGGGACGAATTTTTGACATCAGCTGAGTTGGTCGTCCGGACGATGACACTACGCTTGGATGATAATTCTAGAGACCCGCAACTCGGACGCAGCCAATGAAGTACGTGCTGATGCCGCTACAAGAAAACTAGCCTTTGACCGTATGTTATCCTTCCGTGTCTCTATTCCCATGCCAGGCGATAGGTTGATACTTCATGTCATAAAGATCATCATAATCTAAAAAGACCCCAATTTATTGATCTCACTTGCTTCAATTTCACACTCCCATTAACTTATTACAATCACTTTCAGAGCGTTCCTATTTTGAAGTGTCCGCCATTTACATGTAAATGTTTATGAAACTGTGATAGACAGAAACATACGGGGCATTCCCGAAGTATTAAACCGCATTTTAAATTCCAATGGCCAGGATGCAACTCCTACATTTTCCTCTGCGGAATTGCTAAGTCTATCGATACTAGCAGGAGTGACGGTAAACCTTCGCAATAATCCGAGCAATGAATCCCCCCGGAGCGCGTAATTGCCTAGTAGCAGCCGCGCAATGCTATGCATTGGGGCCGCAGAAGCGCAATTGCCCCTCTCGTGTTCACAGCCCGCAGAGGAGCAACGAAAACGTGCTCGGAGGGGGCCTGCTCTCAGGGCCAAGGTCGAGAGGCAATTCGGGGGCCGGGGGGCGAGCTGCGGCGAAAGAGACAGCCGCAACGCGCGCGCGAGAGAGGAAAGTGCGGCCGGGGTTCTTTGTGTGCAAATGAAGTGTGCGTGTCATTCGAATACACGCAACATGCATGCAAGTCAACGATCAATTGTTCCAAATTCCGCAAAGGAACGGGGAAGTTCTATTGGCATGGCGCTGTGCAGAAGTAGAAAAAAATTCAACTGACGTTGAATGCGTCGTTTAATAACCATATAAATACATCATCATCGATTGTTCCGAGAAGAGATTTTTACTTCCTAATTGTACTTGAAAACAAGGAGTAAAAGTAACACTCACGACGCACATATTTACTAGCCCGGTAATTTTCGACTGTAACCACAGTCACTTATGAGAGCCTCGCGAAGACATTCATTTCTGTTCTAAACCACTAACGCTGTGGTCAGCTTTCCCACAAACTAGATTTAAAACGATTCACAAATCGATTTCTCCACATTACAAAATTAAATCTAGGCAATACTCGTAAATTCATTTTGCAAAACATTTTGAAATGTTTTATATTACACGAGATGATGCTCCAATACACATATAATGAACTGCGATTGCTATTGTTGTTCTTGCATTTTTCTTTTGTTTTTCTCATGTTATTGCAGCAATGTTATTTTCTATTTCTAGGACGAAATCTAAACTTTACTTCCGTTCTCTGTTGCAGAGTGGGGTGAAGATTCCAACGTCGAGTCTAACGAAGCCCACCAAATACCACTACTACCCGCACAACCAGCACATCTACCTGCTGCCCGAGTGCGCGGTGCAACAGGTGGGTCAGCCACACAGCACGCTCGCGCGCCGAAAGCCATTTCCCTCCCCTTCCTTTCCTTTTCAGCTGAGCTCTAGTGAAAAATGCAAGGGGGCAAGTACACGCACACCACCTATTTCAAGTTTGTTTTCAAAACTTGATCTTTGCACTCCTTATTCTAGGTGATATGCTTGGCCTATGATACGATTCACAATGTGTCTTAAACCACTTAAGAATTGACTAACATTAAAACCATTGCCAAAACTAAAGTGGTACTTTTATTATGCGGCGCCTACAACGACAAATGACACACAGGCCAGTTTAGAAGATATAGACGCTCACCTGTTCAGATCAAATTTATCACAACCTAGATTTCAGCCAAAATGTTTCGTAGACCACTTTAGTTCCAGGTCAGCCAACATACAGATAACCTCGTCTATTTTAAATAACAACGGCCATTCTTCAGAAACACCAATAACTTGTTCTCAAGAATGTATGTTTTGAAATGAAAGTTGGCATCCGTTTTAACCGCTATTGTAACCGACAGCAAAACGAATCAACTTCTGCGAGGGAAGTCTTTTCTCCATTATTCTCCGTTACTGCAAGCTGATGCATGATTCAGCAAACCAAAAATTTTAATATTCGCTTAACATCACGTTCCGTGCACATGTTACCACAACAACGTATACTGTATTGGAAGGACATTAATCATACTTACTGTAAAAGTACGAGTAATATAGTAAAATGATAAAGAAGTTTATAGCTAAATATAATTGCATATGATTTTTAACCAATAAAGAGATAAAACAGGAAAAACAAGCATTAAAAAACGAAGTAACATCCTACAAAATTAAAACTTTGGCATGGCATCAAGGGACATTCTTAGGCACCAAGGGCAATGAAAGTAACAAATTAAACATTATATTGAGTAACAGGTGAAAGGAAATTTATAAACTTCAAAAAGTCATCAAAAACCATCACAATTACATTGGTACAGAATATATCTAAAGGCTATAACTGTTGGTGTAGTCTCTATTGCTTGTGAACTTCTCAGAAAAAATTGCACGCCGCATGCTTGAAACTTTTCATTGACAACTGTACCCAAAATTCGATTTGCCAATTACACTTCGTCGATGATTTCGCCACGCTTAAGGTATTGATGATAGGTGACGCAACGCAAACTGGATTGATTCACATGTACCGGGTGCCATTCGAATGGAATGTGTCGGCAGTTGCGTAGTTCCAAACAGCGAAGCCCGGAGAATCTTTACCACGCACAATGAGCCGGGAGTGAGAGGTGGTTGAATATGTCGCGATTCACAAGCGCCCTGCATTCAAGGTAGTTTTCTAATCGGTACATCTCGTATGATGATGATTATTAACCATTACGCCACGGTGTAAGAATAAAATGAACGATAAGAAAACAAGGAACTACACGAAAGTTGTGACAATCAATTCTACTAACCATTTTCAACGAACTGCATCAATCGACATTACTGCCAACCAAAAACAAAATGATAGAATTATTGAGTATCCAGGCCTCTGAGATATTCACCTGATTTAGACCACTAAACAGAAATTCATACGATTAGTAAAGGCGTCCATTATTTCCTTCCACTACACAATGTATACAATTCTTTCATAAGATTCAGACACGAAATGCTCTTTTTAGTGTGTTTTCCGCCACAACCTCACATTATTAGGTGTAATTGGTCAACAAGACAACGCTATTTGAAATCCCTGCCACCATTCATTTCTCAACTTCGAACACAGCGCCTCGATCTCAAGCTTTTGAGGACTTTCTCCACAGTTTCCCACACTTCTCAAACCTCAAAGGAAATTTCCCGTTCACACGAAGACGATGCGAAGCGAACAACTCGGCGCCAATCGCCCTATATGAGTCCACACGTTCGCGCTGAGAGAACCCCTAACGCAATCCGGGCCGCCGACAAAAGCGCAGCGCCGCGCGTAACGGGCGCGATTCAATCCCGGGCGCCCGTCCCAACATTTGCTCTTGCAGAGGCGCGTTTTTGCGCCCCCGCCCTCCGCTTCGGTAAACGTCCGTAATTCCATTATAATTCGCTGCCGTCTGGGGACGCGCGCGGCAAGAAACCCCGAGCAGCGTGAAATCTAATTAGGCACGCGAGTCGGGGAAACAAGCGACGGCCGGCGCAAAAACGCGGCGGCGTGAGCGAACACGATGAGTGGAAGGGGGAGCGACGCTGATATGCGGCGGAGGTGGGGGCGAAGAAAGGGCTGTGGCTGAGGCGGTGGCTGGATTGAGGAGAAGACGTGCTTCAATAAGAGCAAATGAAAGGTTCGCACGAAGATGTACGACTTTACTCGACGATAGGAAGATGTTTTGATGGATGTATCAGAAATTGCAACAGACGAATGCGGAGAAAGAACCCAAAGAAAAAAACGAAAGAAAGAGAGAGAGAACGAAAGAAAGAGTAAATGAATAAATGTGTGAATTGCAAAACAATACATACCCGGATTAGACAGATATAATGTAGTCTAATAGAAATTGATCGAATGTGTATAAAAGAAATCTGTCGAGTTCTTGATGAGTATAAAAGCGCTTTATCAGAAAATGAACTATTGAAAACAGTAAAATATTTCGAAAAGTAAACACCTGCGAGTTTGACAGAAGGAAAAAAAACAAACATCTCTGCGTAAAAGAACGTTTCAGATTTGATGAGGAACATGTAGAAACGAGAAGACCGATTCTTTTCCTTGCCTTGCTCTTGTGAAAGACAATATTTGGTACTGAAATGATTTGCCAAAATGTAACAATTCAGGCAATTATTATTTCAAACTTTTCATAAATGTTGGTAAGGAAAGGTTTCTATGTCAAATCAAATGTCAGGCATTCATGAACCACATGGCTGAAAGAGTAGCCTTACTATTCACGAACAGTGGTACGATAAAACTGAAGAATTTTGGCACTTATACTTTACAAAGTAGCATCTCCTTCCCATATCTGCACCAATCTTTAACATATTTGGACCAGCATTAACCAAACTCCACGTGAACTGCTAATAGGTACAAAGTTAGCGCTCAGAAGGCTCCAAACTGCCAGAATTGTGTGTGACACAAACATCCACGCTGGCATCAATGTTCAACAACATTTTTCGCCTTAGGAACCCTCAAAACGGAATTTATCATTGAAATTTCTATCTCAAATTTTTGGACCGAATACAACAATTTAACTGTAAACTTCATAAGAACGACAAATAAAATTTAGTAAGTCGAGATGAAAATACCATTTCAAATGTACACAACGGCAATGAGAAGGATATTAACTTAATTACTTTTTTACTCAAAGAATCTCATTTTGGAAACATATCTACAATCAGACTCATTATGAATGTATCATCACTTAAGAACTTATAATGCAGGGTTTTAAAATGAAACTAATCTAGCGACATAGCATCATTATCAGACAGGTAGCCTGAGAGCTCGCACTAATTTCGTCTGTTATCCTATCTAATGACTTATTCCCCAGCGGGAATAGAGAATGAAAAGTGTTTCAGTTCAATACGTGTATTGCAAATACACGTGTACGTACGTATGTATGTATGTATATGTATGTATTCAAATCTTTTCAAATCTACTTTTGAAACCGCGGATTATTAGCATCTTAACTTCCTCGTGTGCGTGAAGAGCAGCGACCGCATGTGATTGTGCCCTGCCTCAGGTGTGCAACGCAGTGTACGTGCGGCTCAACTTCACGCAGCCGTTGTGCGCGTGTCCGTCGCGCTACAGGGACCCCTGCTCCGCGTCGCTCAACTCCGACGACCTGCACACCACGGAGCTCGTCACGGACCGCGGCGGCAAGGTGAGCCACGTTCCACACAAAAAAAATGTTTATCAGAACGCACGTATGAATAATATATGTCTATAGTGATACGACGTATGTAGAATGTCAGAAATAATTATTGGTGGGTGATCACTCATAATTTCATGTTTTTTACAGATTCTGGACAAAGTCGTCTCCTCCAAAACTATTTTTACCCAAACAATTTTTTGTCTCTCGCGCATGATAAGTTCTTAATGGTGTAATTTACGTTTCTTGCTGAACATATGCCCTAATTTCTCACAAAAATGGCATCTTCATTGGTTTAGGAATCATTTTACAACTTAACGTATAAAAAGCAAACATTTCTAAAAAAAATCAAAGGCTATCTGCGCCAAGCTCTCTTAAAAAAGTATTCGTGTACGTAGAGCAAATGTTCTTGATATTTTCTTCACAGCTCTATGCGATTGTCCCATACCTCGATTACACCATTGCTAATTCATGACCTATGGGACAAATGACAGCGTTTTAAACATGAATTTGTAACAAATTCAAAGGAACAAGTTCCCTGACCGAATTCAACAAAATATTCATGTTTCGACGTGCAATACATAACACACTACATTTTTAACTGTGAGAGCAACATTACGTAAAGAAATAACAATTATTAAATCTTTTTAAATATTAATAATCTTTTTGTTTAAAGGCGTCGTATTGTTTACAATCTTATACAAAAGTAACAACTATCTTATTAGGATTATTTCATTAATTATACATCAATGAAGGATATGAGTGCCATACGAGCGGAGCGCGCGTGTGCCCGCAGGCGCTGACGCTGGTGAAGACGTGCGAGCCGGTGGCGGACATGCGCGTGTGCAGGGCGCCGCGCGACTGGGCGCTGCTGGCGCTGCAGAACATCCGCACGGGCAAGTCGCACTACCTCGTCATCTGCCGCTGCCCCGACGACAGCATACTCGGTAAGAGCTCCGGCGCGCGCCTCGCAAGGCACGCCACCCCCCCCCCCCGTTGGGCATGCAGAGTTCGATGACACACTGAATAGGTATATCACTAATATAGATTTTACTAATTTTCTATAGTAAATAATACATTCAACAAAATAACTACAATCAAAAATAAAAATAAATTTTAAACATCGCTACATCTGTACTCCCCATATAGAATATTTTTGCTTGCGCCACACTTTCTTAATAATTTAATAACCGATCTTCTTCTACATGAATTGTCGAAAATAAGTTACAATGTCATTTATCACCAAGAATGCAATATTCAGTGAATTCCGCACATTTGAAGATTAAACTACATTTTTATGAATACAAATGCGCTCTTGAGTCTTTAAATATTTACAATAAATAATTATTGCACAAAAGAAATACTAACAGATACTGGAAATATTTTCAAAAAACAAAGTATTATTAACAAATTACAAACTGAACATTTAATTAAAGTGAAGCAACATTAAAAACAACACTATTTTCCAAAATAAAAAAAATATTGCAAGTTTATGTCATAATCAAGGACATTACTTTTCATGCAATTGCCTAGTTTTGCTGGAAACAGACAATATAATCGTAAAGCTTGTAACCCCCTTTTATCGTAAGACTCCCCTTTTTTTCAAACTAAACCTTTCTTCTCCTTCTTATTACATGTTTGAATACCTATTAACCCCAATATAGTCCAGGATTTAAAACTCGTCTAACGGGAAGCGGACGTGGGGTTTGGCTTGCGCCCCTGCTCACGCGACCTCGCCTCGCCCGCAACGCGTGGCCGTCCGAAGGGTTGCCTATGCCATATACGTCGCGGCGCACGAACGTGGCGACCTCGCTGGACAGCTAGAGAGATTCCCTAAAAGAACCCTTGCTTGATGCAACTTTGCGGATATTGTTTTATTTTTTCACTATAAAATGTCATTAAACCTTATCTGTTATGATGTGACTAGCATCAACATCGACAGCGTTTTAATACTGTTCATATTACATTAATATTATCTAAATCGACACTAAGAAGCAATAAATATTTGAATACAATATCAATATTCAATTATTTTTTCTTTGCATTCTGTTAGCTACAAATCTAGTCACCATATCAAATTCGCAATGTATCACTAAAAAAGTATGTGTATTAAGCCTGATAATCCCTAAGATGTTCGGAAGATGTTGGAAAGAAAATGCTAAATGCGACGTTCGTATGATACATTCTAACACGTAAAAATAATTCTTCATTCCAGATGAAATCGGCCACCACTTTCCCCTCGTCATGCGCATGTTTCCGCAAATGCTTACACGTGCGCGTAACACAACGCGTGCCATAAGCTACATTACGCGTGCACACACGTGCTCACGAATGCACATAAGCACATGCACGTCCACACGCCCCAGCGACCGAGCCACAAAGAAAAGCCCAACAGACTGAAACACACATGACGTACATTCTAGAATAACATTATTTTTGCATACATACTGCGAAGAATCCATTACGATGTGGAACAAGTGTATCAAGTTTTCAAATTCACTCACACCTCAACAATCCTTTACTCGCACAGATTGTCGATTTTTATTGCATATTGCTGTTTACAGTAATTACGGGTTCTATTTAACAACACATTTGTAATTTAAGGATTCTAGTTTAATGGTCTTTCATGGGACGAATTACACACAAACAACATTAAAAGAAAAATCATATTTACTTTAAAATATCTCGAATATATCAAATTAGAACTGTAGCCAATAAAAAACAAGATACCAAATCAAGAAAACTTATACTTATTGAATAAAAGACAGTCACGTAAATCGCAAACAATTGTGGGCTCAAACACAAAGTTACGAGTACGCGCTGCGAACAGAGACTCCCCACGTCATCAGGCAATATTTGTTCTTGTCGCTGCGAAACTAGGATGTTGCCGTTACGTGCACCTTTGTACATGTGTACCCAATGTACGAAGATGAGTGGGTGAGCGGTGCATTCCGGGCGCGTGTTGCAGAGGGCCCCACGCCGCACGACCAGCCAACGTACGCCAGCGTGCCCGGCATCCGGGTGTTCGGCATGACGTGCGTGCAGCCGCTGGGCAACCGACGAGGGCGGCCGCTGCGGTTGCGACGCGCGGCGCGCTGTAAGTATTCCCGCAACTGCGCCTCGCTACAGCTTGCGAAAGGCCTCACTGCACCACCTACCTGACCTCTAAATCTAGGGGTCAATGGGAACACTGTTTTTATAAACAATAGTAATAGGGTATTCCATTCTGCAATGTGTAAATCTATTGCGTGCGTCAGTCTATTTCTGTTTAACTTGCGAGGACAAGGTCATTTTCATACCTCTCGTTGACGATCAATGTTTAGAATAAATCCAGTACTCTTGAAAATTTAGAGCAGCAACTAGTTTGGAATCTGAAGTGTTCACGTCGACTTTGTATACAACACATTTCATATTAACTGAAACCTTTCCACGAACCCGCTCCTCCTCGAAGAAAACAAAACGTCAAAGCGGTTACACCGGCTGAGGTAGCTCAGGGTATCAACTGATAACACTGCAGGGTCTCTGACCGGGTGGTCCTAAGGCTTCAAGTCACAACAGTGGAGTATTTCGATTCTAGCTAGTTAGCTGGGCTGACTGGAGCCGTCTGGAGGAAACTTCTAGCGGCCGGCTGCTCTGATCGGTAGTTTACTGAGGTTCCTCCGATCAACAGCAGGCGAATGTCGGAGAACTACCCTAACATACAGACCATCGACCCTCACGATCATTCTTATCCTATCTTCACCCGTTACTTACACACACTTACACTAACATGCAATACACCACCATGCGTGCTGGGAGACCGGACGGGAGCTTTAAGCTTGCACCGTTGTTGGAAGATGCCTGGTGGAACGCCCGTAACCTGGCGTGTTTGCCGGCACCGGATTTCACCATTCAACGGAAGACCGTCGCCACTTCCCTTGATAAAATATGCACTACACTTACGGGACTAATGATAAGAGCAGTTGACTTGCAAAAAACATGAAATAATCGCAATCAATCACATCTCTTAGAGAGATATATCCCATCCCAGATTTTTCCTAGCTGTGAATTATAATCAGATCCTTTAACATTTTTTGCAAATATTCCACAGCGAAATGGAGTAAATGAATAGTGAAAACACCAAGACCATATTCGACTTTCTGACTGACACTTTAAGGTCATGTCATCAATCATAAAAAATCACTTGCATTCCAAAACCGCTCCCACTCAGAAGCATAGAAAAGCTGTTTCGATGCAAAACAACTTTAACATTTATCGGTCACATTTCTCTTTCTCCAAGTCACTTTCAAGTAACAAGCAGAACCAAACAAACTACCATTGTGCAAAATTGTAAAAAGAAAAAGGTTGAAAGATCATACGTTTGTTATCGCTTTCAAAGAATTACTGCATCCTTTACACAACCTTCCTTTGTAAGTCTACATTATACATCACTCCTGACACTTTCACATCACGTTTCTTCAGCCTCGATCTACGTAACGCTTCATTCTATAAGAGTATTTCTCTCATTTCTCATCCAAAATGGCATCTCTGAACTACAGAGCAAACATCTATTCATCGCAGGCCCACTTGGTCGCTCGCGGATCTGCAGTCCAGCTGCGACGACGGCGGCCCGCGACGGCGCTCAAAGGGACGGCGAGAGCCAAAGGAATGAGAGCGCGGCTGGGGAGACAATAGAGGAGAGAGTGCGCGTGGCGCGTTAGCGCTGAGTTATGCGGCGGGCGCTCCGCGTGGGCGTGCACCTCCGGGCGAGCGGCCCCCGCGTGGATTAATGGGCGACCGCGAGGGCAGGAGGGGAGAAGAGAAGACGACCACCCTGGTTCCGCTCTGGTTCCCACGCCGCAACTCAGCCCCTTCCTCCGGCGGGTGGCGTCTAAGTGCCCGGCCCGCCGCCGCCGCCGCCGCCGCCGCCGAAGCCGCGCACTCGCTAAAAATACGCGTGCGTCGTCGTTCTTTTGCGCGAATCCGCCGCCGCCGTGCGTGCCAATGATGTAGCCCTCCCCTTACCATATGCTTGCAAATTACTAGCTACAGCTGGCTGCGCGGTCGAGGCCGTGTTGTTTCTCTCGTCCCTGTTATTGTTTGGACTTCTTATCCCATTGGGTCAGATAGGCGTTGTCATCAAATGACGGCTTGGTCCTCAGCACTATCATTTCTTAAACAAAATTCAGTACCTCTTTTTTTCACCAACCAGTTTGGACGCATCATCTTCCATAACGTTTCTCTTTCAAATACGCTCTATCGCCAGGTTTTATCATTCTTCACACGCCTCAGGTCCTAAATATTTCACATACATCTGGTAGGACTCCTGCGACCACACAATACCACGTTAGATTGTATTCACTCTTGGAGTGAAGTCCAACATAATACTTTTTCCACGTTTCATAGGTTATCTTCTCGGCCTTGTTAATATGTTTCCAAGAAACACTTCGAAGGCTTTTCGAAAGACGTGGCGCACGATTCATTTCCATTGAACTTTGTCATTACACATCTCCGCTTCTAGAAAACTTTGGTATTTAATAGTCTGCGAGAAGTGCACATCGAATTATTTATTAGACAAAGACATGTGTGAAACACCATATTTGATGTAGAAGATAAATCCATTACAAGAACCCCAAAACCCTTCGAAAATACCCATGCACCTCCGAAAAATGTTAGCGAAATACAAGAGCCATGTAAAATCTATACTGAAACAGATGTGATTTTTCTATCCACCCACTTACTTTTCACTGACCAATATGTATATACAAGAATAAAGGCGGAATAACCAGACTTCTTGAATGTCAACCTGAGAGGACCATGCAAATTGCATCGAGTTGGACTATTAGTTGGCGACTGGATTGCGTTGCACACAGACGAAATAAGTGAAGAAGCAACCAGAAAACAAAAAAGCACAGAAACTCATCGCGTCCAAGCACCAAAGTTTAGAAGATAAATAGTCACGCAATAAATGTTATAGCCAAAATATTATGATAATTATGAAAGATAAATAGTGCAGATATTAACTGTACTCTTTAGTAATTCGTGCACGCATTTGTAAAAAAATATATAAAATTCAAGTTTTCATGGATGGCTGATTGGTTGTTAGTGATTCCGGGCGCGCCAACTACCCAGGTAATTAGTCCCGTAAGTGTAGTGCGTGCCCTTTTCCCTCGGGAGAGTGAGATCCAGCGCCGACCTACCGCCGGCTAGAGGGGTTTCCCCAGCAGGTATCTCCCACCAGCGGGGCATCGCCCCAGCCGAGACAAGCTCTAAGCTCCCGATCGGTCTCGCGACATGTGTGGTAATATAATGCAAATAAGTGTAAGCGTATGTAAGGGGTGAGGATAGGACAAGGAAGAGGAAGGAAAGATCGCGGGCGGTCCGTGCCCCGTTTGTTTGAGAACTGCTCCGGCATTCGCTTGGTGTTGATCGGAGAAACCACGGAAAACTACCGATGAGAGCAGCCAGCCGCTAGAATTCTCCTCCAGACAGCGACCTTACCACTGTCCGGGCTCGAACTTAGGGCCTCGCGGTCAGAGCACTGCATCACTTCATATACTGAGCTACCCCTCCCTGTAAGTTTTCATGGACTTACAAGATATTGAAAAATGAAATAAAAATCTTTATTCTGTTTTAACCCATTCGTGTTTGAAAAGGAAATAAGACTTTACATAACAAACCGTCAATAAAAATTAAAGTTGAAGGACAAAAGAAAGCTCGAAACAGTAAATGAACGTCAGGGCACTTTCATTTTATGCTTTAGTTGTAAGCAATAAACTGTCCAAATGTTTGTGAGGGTGCAACGCTCGTGTGGGCGGCTGGCGCCAGGTGGTCGCTCCGCTGGCACAGATGAGCGCCGCCTCTCCATGGGCGCCTCCCGTCACTTGTTCCAGACGACCGAGTAGAAAGCGCGCGCACACAACCAGGGGGCCGGGCTCTCCTCGCAGTGTAAATGCAGATGAGTAGTCAAAGAACGAGGCAGGAGTAGTATTTGCTCGTACAACTACGCCACTCATTTCAAGATTTGTATTTGCGAATTGGAACGAAATCTATTCTTCCTTGAATTTGCCGAAGACTACACTTCCAGTGATTTGTTAAATACAGCCTGACTGGAATATATGATTTTCTAAAAATACATGCCACAAATGGTTACGGCAATTGATGTTGGGGTACAGGTATGTAGCTACTTGTCCACTTGATTTTCTTTTACTGCATGGTCTTCCCTGCAGTATAATTTTTGAACTTTGTTTTGTAGAAATCTTTCACACGTGAACTGAATTTTTCTTCAAAATATTCCGTTTTACTGAAGTACTAATTTCTACTAAAATCCGCTTAACATCCTAAACAACTGTTGTGAGATTTAAAATAACTTAATCAAAAATAATTTTGAATATAACTTGCCCCTAAAATTTTACGCGTTGGTTTTATAACTCAACTTTATTCACTAACACAGAATCTCAAATTCTATATTACATTATTGGTGCGATAGTGTGCATTATTCTGTTCCTAATTATAACACAATGAACATGGATGAAAACCTTAAAAAGTACATTGTATGTGGGTATTTCTTCGAATACGTCTTTTCTTATTTGAGTAAATAAAAGATTATCTCGTAACCCAACAATAAATGAATTGACATTAATAACGCATCGATTTGATCATCAAATTGCCCCTAGTTAAAACTACCTCGTTTTGCCGAGTTTCTTAGAACCTACCTTGCATTCTATAAAAGGAAACAGGAGAACATAATATTAAACGCGTAAACAGAACGTCTTGGACGAGAGAAACGACCGGAACAAACATTCCAGTGATCTGAAGTAAGCCGATGAGAAACGAAGCGGAACGCAGAAAAACGCCTTCTCCAATCACGCCCGAGTGTCGAACCGCAGCCTCACTACCGCTACCGTCGCTCGCGGCCACAGACGCGCACCTCCTCAGCACTACCTGTTGAAGGTGTGTTGATCGTAATGATGGCGAGGGTGGTGGTGGTAATGCCGGGGCTCGGGTGAGAGAATCTTGGAGGTGTTCATTACAATCCAAGACTTTGCGGTGTATTTATGGTGATGCAGGTATGCTGGTTATTGTGGTAGTGGTCGTGATGATGGGGAGGTAATTGCAGTGATAGCAGTGGTAATGATGGTTATTCTGGTAGTGGTGATGATGATGATGATGATGATGATGATGATGATAAGATAGTGGTTGTTGATTTTTGGGGGAGTGGAGGTGATAGTAGAGAAGAATTAGTTCTGACGAATAAGGGCTCGTTGCCTGTACCTAGAATACGAGTAATGGGTGCTATTGTTGTTGCTGGTGCTGGTGGCAGCGATAAAAGGCAGCAATGGTAAAAATAGCGCGTACGGAAATGGGAATGGTGAAGGGGGCGGCAAGTAAATTCATCAAGTGACGGTGATTCGGAGCAATGGCAACGATGGCAGCGGCAAGAGCCGAGGCGCCGCCGCCATTGTGGAATCTATCCGTCACGCTCCAACGCTAACGGCACAATGTGATGAGGCGAAGAAAGAGAAAGAGAGAGCAAGCGTGTCCAAGGCAGAATAATACAAAAGGAGTCCGGCCGACGAATTTCACTGCAAGCGGAATTAGCTCTCAAAACACAACGATTAAAAAGGAAAAGGAAGTAGATAGAAACTCTCGTGCAATTTTCTCATGTGATATCGCAAGTTAAAAATATCGCCATACGTTTTAGATGTATGCGGTAATCGGGGCGAAACATGGAAGACGCGAGGTAATCCCATTAGTTATGATACACAGATGTCAAATGGCGTGAATACAACTCTAGGGTCCTGTTCCAGGACCACACTCCATTTGAATTCCATACTTCCAAATTACGATTTAAAACAATAGTCGGCGTAATGGGATAAAATTCGCTTTCAAAAATATAGTTGCAGACAGAATAAACATGGCTATAATGTTTGGGCACAAAACCCGAGTAACGTGGCGAAAATAAGGGAATGACTGCTTTTCCGAAAGAAAGAAATAAAGAAAGAAACCGAGTGGTAAACATGGGACAACCATTTAGGCAAATAACCAGCCATGGTAACGGATTGAGTGGGTCAATTGGCAAGTTATAAATGAAATAATCGGTGACGGTGGCCAAGTACCTACAAGTCTGAAGACGGTCAACGCAAGAGCATGCATGAGGCACTGCACGTAGAGCCAGTGGGAAGCAGACACACCTCGGGGCAAAGCGCTGACAAGCGCCGCAACCCGCTTCGACGCGCGCATTCGCAAAACAAGCGGCGCGTCACGTGCCACTAGCTTTCGGTTACGAAGTTCGGAGCTGCGAGCGGAGACGACCTGGGGTGAGCCGAGGCGAGCGAGCGGCTGCCTGGTCCAGAATGCACCGCGCCGCGCCGCGCCGCGCCACGCCACGCCACGCCGTGCCGGCTGTTGGCAGTGGCAAGGGCCCGAAATCAGGAACACGGCAGGGGAGAAACAGCCATCAGTGGGGTAACGTATGTTCAAGGACGGTCGGGGGAAGAAAATCAAAGTGTTTGTTGGTCTCTATTTTACTCCGAGTCCTCTGGTCAAGCGGTACCTTTGGTCAACAACGATATTCACTCAGGCTCTTACGATTACTGAGACCAAATGCCAAAAGTCGCTTGGCCGCCTCTTCTGTCGATTACGAGAGAAGCTGCGCTCTCTGTTCGGAGGGGACAAAATGCTGAGGGATCCAACATCGGTGGAGTTGGTATTAGGGACGATGGAAGTAATAATTATCAATAGCTTGGATATATGGACTGGTGGTGAAGGGGAAAAAGAGGTGTCGGAAGGAAGACACGAAGACAACAGTGGTATTGGTAGTAACAATAATAGTGAATGGCGAAAAAAGATGATAGAAGTGGTTTTCTCGACGCCAAGAGCTTTACCAAAACAGTTCTCCATTATGGCTTTCACGTCACCCTCATTGACACTGAATTGCATAGATGCTTTAATTGGCAATTAACTTCGCTTCAGCTTATAACTCTCAAATTCATCACGAACCTAGGCAACGAAACAATAAGCCTCTAGACTCCGGAGACTGCCAATGAAAACCAAATGACAAGGTTCATTATATTTTAATTCCTAGCCGTATTATTAATTAAATCCAGTATATATTTACACAATGTTACACATATATACATTAAATTACAGCAGCAATACACATTGCACTCAAGCCAAGTTTTTAATAAAATAAACAGTATCACAATGAACAATAAGGAGCATTTTTTTCTTATTAATACGAAACCGAGAGCATAGAGAAAAACGGAAAGTCTCGTAAAAAATTATACTAGAAGCAAAACACCACAACAGCACTTTTGTCTTTTTTAAATAAGTAATAGGGTTCGAATTAGGGGGAATGGCGTAGGCAAATTGAGAAAATGTTTCATCTTCGTAGAGGACTACCAAAGCAAATGCTTCTCTTCTGCGCTTCCACAATGATTCATGCGCTCAGGGAGAACACGGGAGGCGTGTGCTCTCATGCCCCTTTCTGAAAACCTTGAAAGGGATCGCTTAGCCATATAGAACATTTTATCTCCATGAATATGTCAAATCGCTGATTTTCCCATTTTTTAACCTGACAATTTGGGAAAATGTTACATCATATTTTGGGGAAGGGGCTCTCCACATCAAGTGGCAATCCTGTGCATGGTTTACCACAAAAACAACTGAATTTCTTAGTTGTATTAATATTGTTATAATTCCATCCTCCTTGTAGTAGGAATGTTTGATGGTTTTGTTCATTCCATAAAAAAGTGTCTTCGTATTTCTTAGTAGTTCTCCTTGTAATAATTCATTCAAAATATTTTACAAAATGTCTTGTGTAAATAAATTTCAATGTAAAAGGGGGCTCAGAGCCCCCTTTTTGTTTTAAGCTGCTCGTGCCTTTGTTCATACGCCCTCGTGTGTGTGTATGTGTGTTGCAGATCCGCGACCGGCGTTCCCCTGGGCGCGAGTACACGCGGCGGCCAAGGCCGTGCAGTGGGACGACTGATCCCACGTGCCGGGGCGCGGGCGGGACGAGGCGCGACGGCGGCGCACTCTTCAGGAAGCGGGGGCGGTCTGCAGCCGACAGTCAGACGGACGTAGTGAGCGGTCCAGAGAAGAGAGGACGAGGACGAGGACGAGGACGCGCCGGGCGGACCGCCCCCGCCCCCGCCCCCGCCGCCTGCTCGCCTGCCGGCCGAGAGATCCTCATTCCGGAAGACAGAGGCGCGCGCGAAGAGACGACAGCGGGCGGCAGCTGCGTCCCAGGCTCAGCGTCTGACGCGCTCTCGCGCAACGGCACCACTGCCACGGCCTCGACGCGCGCACTGACGCCTGTGTCGTTTCAGTCAAATGACATCACGTTTATTTCCTAATTTTATGCCAAGCTCCTTGGTCTACAATGCCGGTGAAAATGGAAGCCTCCTGCTTAAACTTCCGCATGCGAACGCAGACGTACACTATTCATCAATAATGTGAAGGAACCATTTTTTTTTATAGAGATCTAACGTCGCAAAACTGCAAGTGTACGAGAGTATTAAAGAATTAAACTGAATGTAACGTACGCCCACGAATTGTACAAAACGCTATTGCAACGCGATATCTCCATAAAGAGCCCGAGCGGCAGCAATGTACTGAAATGTACGACGGAAGATTTTTAATCAAGATATGACACACATCTCAGGTTTCAAATTTCAATAGAGTTTCATTTCAATAAATCTGCAGGTTAAAAAGAGAAACTATTAATTCTATAGTCTCCATGGGAATGAATTTTGGATCTTTAGTCTAAGAGGGAAACAAAACTTGGGTTATCAGCGATAAGTTATTGTGATTTCTGCTCTGGACACCACTCTCTAGCATGTTTTCGGAGTTCCGGCTAAAGAACGGCAAGAGGCACAGTCTCCCGCCTGCGGAATGCAGCCTGCACGGGCGACAGCAGAGGCGGCGGCGGCCGCGGTCCGGATGCTCTTCCGACCGTGGCACGGAGAAGACGAGCGCGGTTGGTTCGGGCGGCTGCACGACGAAGCGCGCGACGACAACGACCTCTTTGGCAACTGGGACGGGAGCGGCGACGGTGGCGCCCAGGGATGCGACATCGACGTTTCCAAACATCGGTGTTAATAAAACACCCACCCCAAAACATCGATGTTTTTAACACTAGATAAGTAACCTTTGACGTTCACGTGTGAGTGCGTGGGGGGGGGGATTTAATTTGAAAGCAGTCAGATATATTAACGTTTAATTGAGATTTATCTTACAGGATGAAGTCAAAAAACATTAGGATGATTAATAAAACTTTGATTGTCTTACTCGATATTTCAAAATTACAACAAGCTTCTTTATTGACGAAAACGCGAATTTATTTATTTTTCACCCTTGGTCACTTCAGTCTGAGGAATATTCAATTTATGAATATCTGAAAATTATTATAGAACTTTGTTATCGCGGTACTTTTTCATTTTAAAAAATTAACCAAGTAAAAACATCAATCCAACAACATTGATGTAAACAGAACATCGACTTCAAAATATCGATGTTAAATACATCGATGATATTATAAAAATATCGACATCACAATGTCGCATCCCTAGGGTCGTCTCGGAGGTGCCCTCTGTCTACAGCCCCGGCCCATTCTTTGCCTTCTCGACCCATTCAAAATAAGCACCTGTTATGCATTTGCAAGAGCCCCATGAACTTCCGTGGAAACTACTCCTTCAATCGCTGAGACACCAATCTCTTCAAATCTATCAATCTCTATTCATTTTAACCAGAATGATAAACACTCAAAAAATTCAACTGATTGCGCTAAAAACAAGGTCACTGGAAAGTTCCAGTAATTGTTTTGTATCAAAACACTTCTTAGTATCATGCAAAATCTTTCCATCGTAAAGGTACATGGTGTACGAAACATTTTACTCGGTAAATATATTTCCTTTGCGTTTCTTTTAACTCTTGAGAAGGTTATTCAAAAGTATCTTTCGTACACTCTAAAAATTACAAACATCAAATATGTCGAACAAAAAACAAAGCAAAACTCTTGATAAATGGTCACATCTCGCGAACTCTTCCCACCCTGTTTTAGTACTGCCGGCCTGGGGAAAACTTGAAACATTTCAGAGTTCGACGGAGTCGGTCTGTACGAATGGAAACGCGAGAGCGAATGCGAAATTAAACTTCATACCATGAACTCTTCTAGAGGAAATGTCCTTGATCATCGAATTAGCAATTTTGGACTTCTCCAGTGCAGTAACACTTTGGCATTAACCAATGATTAAAATAACTCTCAAACATGATGCCTCGCTATTCAGATTTATACTTTTGTTGATATTAAAAATTTCATTGCACATAGTAAACAAAACACCGGAAAGCTAATGATGGTTTTTGCAATGGGTAATTTTGTAAATCAGTACTGTGAAGAGACTGTTAGAAGACGTAGGCTACACGTGATGAACTATTATCAAGAAGCAGCCAATGCGAATGAAATATCAGATTTCTTTGGCTCCTTTATTTCTAAGCTTGTTACTGCTAAGAGTCACAAGCTGAACGAATGAGAAATGAAGATTGCTTTTACCTCGACCGAGCGATAAGGGACATTGCATAGTTATTGAATTTCGCTGGACATCCTCAGAAACAAACAAACTCATCTACTCAGCCACCACCGAATTTTAACTGTTCTTTTGATCAGTCTTGTGGTTTCTGGGCTATCAAATTCAACGAGAAGTTCACATCATTCAATGCAGACTATGCATTATAACGTATCAATTTGTTTTGAAACAATAAACAGTTTTAGTATTCACCTGACACACTTCTTAAGCACATATGCCAGTAAAAAACTGAATCATATTTATCCTTTGTGGATTAAGGATCATCAACTATGACTTCAAAACACATCAAATCAACTGGTCTTGATAAAATTCTGAAATTCTATTTAATCTGTCATGATTCATAATAAGAATACTAAAATAATAATTGTTTGGGAATTATTGATAAAATGAAGAGTTCTTTGCACTGTTCAGCTACTTTAACAGCATTTTCTGCAGGGCAAGGAATTGTGTGGAAGGCAGCTTTGTCTGACTCATAAATCCTTTAACTTAACATAGGTTGGAGGCAAAGCCAACATAGCTGTTTCTGAAATCACATTGCATCAATAGGTCACATTTATTCAGAAATAACAAATTATTTTTTTCATTCTTAGAACAATATTACATTCTTCATAAATTGTGAATTAAGTTTCCTGGAAAATGTGTTCCTCTCAATTAAGTGCAGCAACTTTCAGCTGATGACCAAGAACAATTTTTCAAAACATCCACACTCCTTTATAAAGTGAAGGATCTCATTGCATATTGACTCGGATATCAAATTTCTCTGTAAAGCAAACTATGTCAGTCTGACAAACACACCGCACAGCTTCCTAGAGTATGCTTCAAGGTGCAACTTTGGGTGGTGGATAGTCAGTTGCAAATATCAGCAGAACATTTTAAAATCTTTTTTGACTTCCTCTTTGCTCCAATTCAGTATGGACAGGAAATGTGCCACTGACGAGTTCCATGACTTTTCTTCTTAATGAAGAATGTCCATTGCATGAGAAAAATGACATTTTTAATTATGATATTTAAAGAAATGGATCAATGGCACAAACTGATCTCTGTTACCTGTAAGTCTACAGAATTAATGTGTGTGAATACTCTAAGTTTCCATTACTACATAATTAGCTGAATGAACAACAAAAAATGAATTACCTATACAACTGAACAATCAGTTCTCTAGGAATGATTTGCCATATTAACTTGTTGTCCATTCAGCTCACACACTCTCTGCTTTAGTGACTTTTTCAGCAAATGATTATATAGAACTGTTTTAGCGTTTAAGAAATGAAGGTAACTTATAAAATATTTACTAAGTGTTTAATAAATAGTATTCATTTTTTGTAATCCTTTGTAAATAAATATGGTATTGAGCTTTTACAACTCACTGTATTTTTTTCAACATCCTTTGCCCAAAATTACACAATACTTCCTCACTCAGTCATTTGCACACATACTATCTATAATCTTCTACACAATTATTAGAAAAAAAAATGTTTAAGATAAAATCATACAGATTATCAACAATATACTTCTATTTTCTACTTTTTTTTAAAAAATAAATCAATTTACTGAATTGAGAGTAATTTTTTGAATGTGGTATTAGTTGGATATTTCCCATCTCAATTCTCTTTTCTACAATTAATCTCACTTAAAACAAACATGAATTGTCTCAATCCATTAATCTCATCCTGACATCCTGAGGGCAAAAAATAAATACTTATAGTTCATAAGATTATTAAATTGCATATCATAATTGGTATTCTACTTCATAAGAAATGTAATATGCCTGCACTAATAGTCTGATTTAATAAACTTTCACCAAAATCAAGGCTTAATGTTGTGTGACCAGTTCCTTTTTATGTTACATATGTTGTATGGCAGTTGCAAATGTTAAGTGAATTACTTTTTAATATATAAACAAAAAACAACCGTATAAATGTTACCTTTTGCATTTTGTGTAGGGGAATGGGTCTATATTTTGTTACTAAGTACCATGAAATGATGTTAGAAAGTCTCCAACTCTATATTGTTCTTCAGTCAAACATTCACTTTCCACAAAGAGGGCAATCTGGCTGATGAAACTGACCTATGTGAAACTGACCTCAATTCTCCTATACAATTATATAGACCTAAAAATAAATATAGCATCAAATATGCATAAATATAGAATTTCAGATTACTTACCAAGAACTTCTGCATTAGCCTGTATGCTGCAAGTGTACATAGCAGCCATCAATCTTTGTGGTTGTGCCTGGAATGCTCGTCGACACCCTTCCTTCACAGATGACATAATTTGTCCAGAAAATGGTCCATAAGGTTGACTCCCAACTGGCTCACTGTAAAATAAAATTTAAAAGAAATATAGATTCAAATAAAACCTTTATTTTCCAATATTAACAATCAGTCAATCCTAACAATTTATATACACTTTCATTTTGGTTCTGTTAATTCTATTTATACTTCATCCTAAAGTTGAAGAATACAAATATGTGAAAAACTACACTAAATATTCCTAAATTCATAAAGATAAGTGAACACTGAACAACTTCTTTGTCATTATTTCATTGTTATCATATACAGGTAAAGCTTGAAACAAGAGGGGCCTATTATTACCTTTGCCATTGAACTTTTTTACTTATATGGTATGACATATTTACTAGGAAATTAATGAAGAAACTGCAATGAGAATGAAACTATAACTATTGATGCTATTTTTAAATTTGTGTGTGTGTTAAACCATGTACACAGTTGCCAGATGGCTTGGAGAACCTCTTCCCCAAATGTCAAATAACAAATTCCCAAACTCTCACATTAAAAAAAGGGGAAAATCATAAATGGGAAAATGAGAAATAAAGTAAAAGATAGTAAGAAAGGTAAGATAAAGTAAAAGATAGTATGTATAAAGTACGATAGTAAAGTAAAAGTAAAAGATAGTACAGAAGGCTTCAGGGCCCCTTTCAAAATTTTCAAAGAAGCCAGAGCCCCCTGGCTCTCTTGTGGACATACCTATGATTGTCAGGATAATTCCAATGCAAAAAAATGGTATTGTGCAGATTAGAAGTTATATTCAGGAGCACACTCAATAGGGAGACAGATAGAGGGTTACAATGTGTAATAATAGCAGATTAGACTATACAATGTAGAAATACACAATATACTAACCTACTATCTTGCGGACTTGTTAATATCCAATCTTCAACCACAAAGCACACCCCCATGAGAGGTTCTTCACACAAGGGACCAGCAATAGTTGCAAGCTGAAAGCCATAAATAAAACTACTGTCATATTCTGCTCTGGGATCAATGAAATTGTCTTTATTGAACTTCTCCCACACTGAGCTGCGGTTGTATCCAGGAACTCTGTTTAGTAATATATTTGGTCCACAACGACGAGGACCTACACTCCATATTTGCTCAACAGCATCTTCCCACTCCTTTCCAGCATTTGCAAATGCTTTCTTTAATTCTTCTCTTAAATTGTTGATAGCTTTCAAAGTTCTTTCAGTTAACAATGTAGCATTGTGAGCATCTTCAGAAGACATCTCTTCAGAATCACGGGTATTTTCCACTTTAGAATTGAAATGACGATCCATGGCTTTCAAAAGCTGCATGTTATTTTCAAGCAAAGTAGTTACATCAGAGGGAAGAGGGGCAGCCCGAATCTTAATAGTAGACTGTTTGTTGGATGTATGAATCGTTATTAAGGCCTCCGTCTCAGCATCTCCTTCCTAAAAACCCATAACAAAAAATACATGCCAATGCTTGACAATGTTTTATAAAGTAGTGAATTAATTATAAAGGTAAATTATTATCAGAATTATTTGAATTAATTTTTGAGAAGTGTACAAAAAAAATCTCAAAACAAATAATATCCCAAAATAAAATTGTCAGTAATTAAAAATTATACTGCATTAATATTTTAAATTAAAAAAATTAATTTGTAAAAATTCTTGTCATCAATTCTTACATGTCCAGGTGCTTTTTTAGGAGCATTGTGTTGATCCAAAATTGCTTCATTTACCATATCAACCGAAGGAGGTACTACAATAGTTTCTCGAAATGGTACAATTGGTTCTGAAGCATTTATATCCACTTTTGCATATCTGTCAAGAAAGGGCATTCAGGTAATAAAAATATATTTATTGCAACAAAATATTATTACAACAAACTGTTATCGCAACAAAAAGGTAAAAATAAATGAACTCTCAGATTTTAATTATTGAAAATGACAAAATTAAAGGGTATTCATAAAATTCTTTACAACTTAATACATCAAGAGACATATTGCACAATGTTGTATTTGTATGTCCAATGCCGTATTACATCAACTTTGAATTATTTTTTTATATATACATTCTCTTTTGAATTTATGCAGTCTTCTATAAAACATACCTTTCTTTCAAATCATCCAAACAGCGTTGCAAGTGAACCTCACCAGCAGTAACAAGAACATGCTCACCAGTTTCCTGAACTATAACTTGCACACAAGCATCTGCTTGGTTGAGCAAACGAAGACCATGAATTAGAGCCTGTAAGTCCTGAGGCTGGCAAGGCTCTACAGCCACACGTACAATAGGTACAGCCATCAAAGTAAGTTCAGTGAAAGCTGGACAAGCCACTGTTGTTGACAAAGTCGCAGTTTTCAGAACATGTTCTTCAAGACCACCAATACCTGTAACATAAAACTATGAAATAACCAGAACTTCAGATTGCAATAAAATTGATTAACCTTTGTTCAGCTAATTCTATATTCAGGTTTATTTTTATTTTCTATGTTAACATAAAACAGTTTTACTTTATAAGATATGATGTAATGAATTTATTTTATTCATTACAAATGTATTTAATTATCAACAAAAGTAATCACAATTTTTATTAGTCTCTTATTTTGTTCATGGACTCTAAAAGAATATCTAAACTACAAAATTTTTAGATTCACATTCAGTCTTAAAACAAATTTCTACTGATCCTCCACTAACCAATTCTTGTCATTGGTGTAGATCATAAGGGGAGAACCTTTGTGATTGCTGGATCAATATTAAGGTACTTACTTTCCAATTTCTGTTTGATGAACCAACGTTCTTTGGAATTATTTTATTATCTCCTCAGTTTCAAATTACAGAAATATCTTATCACTTTTAGAAATTCTAATGACGAATAAAGATTAGAAATAACTAAGTATATGCAAAATAGCAATCAAAATAGTGGTTAAAAGATATACTTTGATCCAGCGTTATATCCAGAAAGGGGTTACAGTCAGAGAAGACATTTCACTTTCTTGTACAAAAAATTCATAAAAGTTTGCAAAAAAGAAAGCAATTATAGATGCATAGAGTAGGAACATGAAAACAATAATAGAAAATCATTTGAAATTAAATGGACATATATTTCTGTAATCTTACCAAATACATTGCCAGCAGGTACACAATCAATTTCATCCAATTCTCTTCCCATCAATACATACAAATCTTCAATGACAACTTTTGTAATATGTTGGCCAGATTTTAAATCTTTCAGTTTCAAGTTGGGATTTATGTCTTGTCCATTTTTAAGCTAGAGATTATGTTAGTTTTTATTAGAAGTATTAATTATAAGTATTAATTATAGACTAAAAAAGCAACCAAAGATTCTTGTCAATTACCATTTCAAGGGCTTTGTGAGGGTCGTGTTTGGGACCCAGTACATACACCTCCTGACCTTTCTTTACAGTCCCGCTGAACACACGAGCAAATGCAATAAAGACATCATCACTAAGGTGTAATGGAGATGTTTGTTCCACATCTTTCTTCATAGACAGCATGGAAAGATCAGCTTCCGAAAGATTTTGGATGCTTTTCTTCTCTGTTAGAAATAGTCTCAATAACAATAATTATGAATTCAAATATTTTTAAAATTTTTAAACCATCAATAAATAAAATAAATCACACAGTTTATAGATAAAAACTAAATTTGAAAATAACACAAAGCAATAATCACCTTCCAGAGAACAAGTTTGCATCATCATCTCAGCATGCTTTTGACGAGCCTGCTCTCTGCGTTGTGCAATTTCTTCAGCAGTTAATGGTTGTTGACGATTCTGGGGTAAACATTTACGTTCTACCTGAATTAAAAGAAATAACACCAATGGGTAAGATTAAGTTTATTAGTATTTAACATCATAAGCCAAGAACAACAAAGTTGAGAACTTGAAGGCTTACCGGAAACATTTTAGATATAAAAATAATAACAGGAGAATCATTTAGAGGAGAGCATCTGAGAAAAGATGACTTCAAAGCTTGCGTGTCTGCAGGAAGAGCATCAAATCGTTCAGTTTGTGAGCACATCAATTTTTCTACTTTTTCTTCACTAATTTCAAGGGGAGAAGGTAACTTTTCACAAACCATACCTGAAATATATTCTGTTTTATAAATATGCACTTTCCAGAAGGTAATTAAAACACAACATTTAGAGTAAGAAAAACATTTCACTTACTGAGCACTGCTTTTGCAACGGGTAACCATTGCATCAGTACAGCCTGTAATTGAACTTTACCATCCGTATGTCTCATGTCACGTGCTGTTAATTTAATATGCAGACTATCGAGAATCTTCTGTAATTTTTCTTTATCCTACAAAAATTACTTCTGATTCAGTTCACATAAAAAATTATAACCTAAAAGTTGTTAGCAATATAATACTCACTTTTCTCACAACAATAGTGTCATAAACTGCCCACAAATTTTCAAGTACAAACTGAACAAATAAGGGTTTCTTAGCTTTCTCTTGAGCCCCAGAAATAATTTGTTTTGTCTTTGTATGAAAATAAAAATCACCCCATAAATGCTGCTTCAGGGTACTTTCATCAATACCAAGTTTAGAAGCAAATAAAGAAGCAAAGTCTTCCACACTGAAATAACAAATTCTTGAGTTATTAATGTGACACATAATGTATTTAAAAAAGGTTCTATTCGTATTCAGTGGAGAAATACAGAAATCATGCAGAAGAAGAAATATTAATACTAAAATGTTTTCACTTTCAAACCAAATCCTTAAATTAAAATTTGAATTCCTATTATGAAATCATTTACACAAATTTGAGAATGCACATCGTCACATCACCAGCTACCCATCAAACCATGATAGACCAAATTAAAAACCAAAAATTACACTTAAAGCTCTTCTTTAACTTTGGTCTACAAACAATATGTTCATTGAAAACAAATACTGGTTATTTCCTTACTTTTCATACAAATTCTAGCATTGTTATTAGCTGTTTTTATCACATCCAATACCTGTATAAGTGGTGTTTTATCACATACAGTACTTAACTAAATATTAGTAATATTTAGTTAATAATAACTTTATCTTATTACAATATCATTGGAATACAAGTAAGATTCACAAAAATCAAAACAAATATTTAAAATAAATCAAGTTGAAATTGATTTTGTTAAATTTGTTCACTGAATATTAACCTAACTCCAGGACTTCAATGATTTTACCAATCATAAGAATAGTAAAAATGTAATGGAGATTAGATTATTTATTTCATCCAACATGTCATAACATATGACATGAAACAAATCATTTATACATAATAAAGCACAATAATAAAGAACAAAACGTACGCACAATAGAAGCGTTTTTAACAGCATACAAATATACGCAAGCAACCTTTCAACCCACTATAATCTGATTAATACACTTTAGAGATGAAAAGAACTAAAATACATAACAATAGACTTATCAAGTTGCACTTGTCTACTGACAATATCTTATAATGAGATACACGACATGATCTTATTTTAACATCTTTGAAAAGTTTTAAATGAATAAACTAAAAATAAACACCAAAATACTGGCATAATAATATATGTGAAAAGATATGTAACATATATGTAATAATATATGTGAAAACAGAATTGACATTATCTCTTTAATACTACTACTACTATATATCATACCAACAGGAGAATGAAAGTTTAAAAAATATGCATTTTTGGATAAAAATGCATTGCCCCTATCACAGAGAAGAAAAAAAACATGGTTATTCTCTTGACTATTTCACTGACTATAATGAAATTTCAATACCTGAATGCCCAGCCATCAACAGCACTTGCAAAAACCACATTCCCATGATCAGGAGAGAAATACAATTGAGAATCATCAGCATCCTCCAGTCCTGTACTCCATTCTGACAAATCTCTATTCATTTGACTTTGCTCATGTGTTTTTGTTTTCACAGTAACTACATCTCGACCTAATACTTCAGTTGCAAACAATTCTCCCATAACTGCATTAACCTATGAAAATAAAACACAAAATTCATGTTTCATTTATTAAAAATTAAATCAGGCACTAAAAATAATTCTTTAATTTAACTTCACAAAAATTAATTAAGAACTTAAAATATGAATTGAAAAACATGTTACAGAATTACATATTGAACAAAAACAATTATTAGTATTTAATTATGGAAAATAATAGATGATAAACATACTGGAATATTTTAATTTAGTTTATTTTCTACAACAAATTTTTCAATGGAATTCTAATCTAATCACAACTCTATAATAATTACTAAAGGAAACAAAGTAAAGGAAAAAGGAAAGGAAGGCTTATTTTCAGACATAATTTGACTAATAAAGAATAATCACCATCTGAACCTTACCATAAAAAATATTAAACTTTTGAAATCATAAATCTTGACTGCCAATATAGCCTCAAAGAAATATTTAAAACCATATTACTTCAAACAAATTTAAAATTCAAAATAAACATTTTTTAGTTACTAACACTTAATCAAACAGAAATGTAGTGATATCATCATAAACATCAAAATATAATTTTCTTAAACAGGCCATTGAAGTGATAGGATCAACTGAAAAACCTTGAAAACATCTATTTTAATACTCAAATTTTAGCAATAATTTGCAGCGAGAAGAGAAAAATCTACAACTAACACTGTAGTTCTCTATAATATTCACACAGCCTTAATTTGATAAAAAAAATCAATTAAAGTAATTTCTTATTCTTTTGTTTGGCTGTATAAATACTTGATTACCTATAGTCATAATCATATGCAATGATAAAAGATACTTCAGCCTACCTGCTCCAGAACTTGCGTGAGATGGACGTATGCATCCAATGGGGACAATTTCATCTCTAAAATTAGACGATCTATTTTATTCAGTACTAAAACAGGTCTTATGTTTTCCAGCCATGCTTGTTTTAAGGCCACCTGGCAATGAATAAATACATCAAATAATTTAATAATGAAAAATGAGAAGCAAAATAATTCTTGACATTTTATTTTTAGTACCTGGGTCTGGGGACATACTCCTTCTATAACATCAACCACAACTATTGCCCCATCACACAGCCTGACAGCAGTGGATACTTCAGAAGAAAAATCAACATGCCCGGGAGAATCAATTAAATTTACTAAAAATTCTTTTCCCTCTGAAACGAAGCAGAAAAAATATTTTATTTGCTTTTTTTAAACCCATATCTGAATTTCAACTCCATTGCAACTAACTAATTACAAAATCACTCACCTAGACAATAATATAAAGCAATCGAGCTACTTTTCATTGTGATGCCTCTTTCTTGTTCATCTTTTCGACTATCCATGTACCTGAAATGACATGGATAGGATTTCATGAGAGTGAAAAAGGCTGCCTCCTAAACCACTGCGTGAAGAGTAGACCCATACTGTCATAAAACATTATGTCCCAAATATGTTAAACATACTTATTTGTCATGTAATCTACTCACCTGAGCTTCCCAGCCATTTTAGGTGAGATAATACCATTGCTAGCAACCAAGCAATCAGCCAAAGTTGTTTTCCCATGATCAACATGAGCAAGAATACATATGTTACGAATATTGGATGTGTTTTGCTGGAGTTCTGCCAACTTTTTGGAATCAAAAAGCCTCATTGTAATTAGACTCAAAAGATATCCTAACAAAAAATAAAAAGTGGTTATGAAAGAATAAAAGAGCATCATCTATTAAAGAACAGTTCTGACACTTAAATGTACATATTTAATTAATATCAAACTACTAAACCATTCAACTAATTGATTAGTAACATTCAGCATGTCAAATAAAGACGATATTTAAGAAAAATTTGAATATAAATCAAGGTGATCTCAATGCTGGAGTGATAACATAAGAAATTTACAAATATGCTTTCATGAGAAGGTGAGGAAAGAGTTGGAATGAACTGCAAATAACTTAGTACACAGTAAAAACAGCTTTATTACACAAATGTATAACACGTTTTTGTAATGTTTGTATTAAATTTTACAAACATTTACTAACATTTTTACATAATGACTAGGTACAGAAATGGGACCAGTACAATTTTGCAAGATGCATCATTGAAACATCAATACAATTTTTGGTACTAGGCATAATTTGGCCAACCAATGCAATATGTACCTTCATTTTACCATAACAAATGCTTCAAAAACTATGCACACAATGCAGTTACTAATGGACTGTCATATGATATCATTAAGAATCATTATGACAGCTCTGGAAGAGTCGCATGTTCCCATGGACATTACAACTTCTATGAACACTAATTACTGATAACTAATTTAAATTTTTGTCCCTTGTTGAAATTCTAAGGGAGCTTTATCCTTTATAAGTTCATCCTGCATCTCCTCAGCTATCTTCCTATATTTTGCAGCAAGTTCTTCATTCTTTTCTATTCCCTCACCTCTCTTATACATTAGACTGACATTAGCACAAGCTTGCATTTCACCTAATTCACACGCTCTTAATGCAAACTTATATGCTTTTGACATATCCTTCTCAATTTCTGCTTCTTTAACACCCGAGATGAACATGCCACTTAAAAAAAAGCAACAATAAGCTCTCTTTCCTTCACAACACTTTTCTAATAGAGTCATTCCCAATTTGGGGTCTCGGTCCTTCCGACAGTGTGAACCACGGTTAATGTTCATCATTCCAGCAGAGAGACAACCACTTACATCACCAAGTTCACATGCTTTTAACATGTAATCATAAGCCAGCTCCAAGTTAGGCTCTTTCATTGCCTTCCCTAGAAGATTGTAACTGCCATACTTATAGCAGCTTTTGCCAAAGTTATAATCATCACAGTTTGATTTATAAACAATAGAAGCTTTGCTGAAGTCTTTTTTTATTGCATCCAGAAAATCACCAAGTAAATGACACACTTCTGGTTTCTTTTCTTTGTAACACCCAAACCTGTACTCTATGCCAAGGTTATGGATATACTCCTTCACTTGTGATTCGTCTTTTAAATCATATGCCATTGTAAGAAGCTATAACTTTAACTTGATGCCAAAATTTCACAAAACAATCAATGAACGTATTCGTACCTTTCTTGTCAAAGTCACACACTCAGCACACAACACGCTCACTACATCGCCTGTTGCACAGTATTGCTACCTGATTGCTACATGCGGAACGGCTCTGCACTTGTATACCTGCTTTTATACGTATATTAGTATAGTTGCAGTCAGTATAGCGAATCAAGAACAGGGAATAGGAAAACGTGCAGCCAATCTGTTACGAGAAGTACATGTGGTCAAGCATTCGAATAAATTCTAAATTTGGTACTCCTGATCGGAGGCTGTACCTGTTGACAACAGAAAGTCGTTACAAATTGTAATCAAATGAAGCGAGTTGTGAAGTAGAATGCGCGGTGGTGGTATCCCGAAGCATTATTTTGGGTTTGTGAAATTTTCGCCGTGCGAAAATTGAAAATGTGTGACGTTCAAGCGTGATCGATTTGCAATGAATAGAAAACACTTGATAGTGATTATGCCCTCTTCAGTGTAAATAGGCTATGGCATATTCGGTACGTTCAAGTTTTGTTTTCTTCTGTGTATATTGCGCTGTGAAATAAATGAGAGTTTTTAATGATATACAATGTAACATCAGTAATTGTTACATGTGAATTATAGACGGTAGAACGCCTAACTCAATATTATTTTTCCCAAATCAGAGGTTTCTTAGTTTGAAATTACTTAGCCTGACAAAATTGTATCTTGCTGTGTCATTTCTTCAGAAATAATTGTGAATGTGCTTGAATTTGTATTAGTTTTGTAAAGTTAATGTAAATATAATAAGTTAATGTAATAAAAATAATTCTTAGTAGATTCTTAATGGTATAACATTTCTTCTATTTATATGATGAATGTTAATTATTCATTTACTAGTTTTGGTTTCAGTAAAATAGATATTTCTTTACATTGCACTTATTTATGATGCCTTTTGCAGTGTGTGAAAGTACTATTTGAAATTGGGCATGAAGCATCAATTAGAACAAAACGAACACCAGAAGGATTTACTCATGATTGGGAAGTATTTGTACGTGGAGCTGACAATAGTGACATTTTCCACTTTGTGGATAAAGTAGTGTTTTATTTACATGAAACATTTCCTAAACCAAAACGAGGTTTGTAGTTTTAAAAGAATGTAATGTTTACGTATTTCTAAATCATGATATTCTTAAAACATTTATAAAATTTGTATTTTCTTGTGAATAGTGGTGAAGGAGCCACCATACTCTGTGAAAGAATCAGGGTATGCTGGATTTAACCTGCCAATTGATGTATACTTCAAAAATAGTGATGAACCAAAAAAGGTTCGCTTCAATTATGATCTTCATTTACAACCCACTGGACCTCCGATCAGCAAGGTTCTTCGTGAGCAGTATGTTTTTCCCAATCCAGCTGAGGATTTGAGGCGCAGATTAATCAAAGGTGGTGGGGTATGTAAAAGAAAAATCATATCCATTTTTATTTATTTTTGGTTGTCACAGAGTACCTACAGGACTCAGTGTATATTACAATAACATGAAAATTATTTTGTCAGGTTGGTGTTGGTTCCGAATCCGGATTTCATTTAGCAGCTTCTGAAAAACATCCTCCTCCTGCATCTGATGATGGACCTGGCCACAAACATCCTGTTCAGACTTTGGTAGGGAAGCCAAAACTTAGTGGAAATGATTCTGGCAAAAAACATAAAGTGAAAGTAAGTATTATGATTGCATTTGGTTTATTTAAGAACTTATTCTGAATTAGAGATGTCACTGAAATTCTTTTTTATTTTTAGGAAGGAAAAAGTGATGAATCCCGTGTGAGCAATTCTTTTCATGATCTCTTTGGCCCTCCAATCAAGACAGCAAAAGTTTCCCCAGATCCAAAGAAAGCATCATCTCATTCATCTCCGAAAGTTTCTCCTGCGTCCAAGTCTTCAAAGCCGTTAGATAAGTCAAGTGGTGAGAAAACAGAAAAATCAAGCAAGTCAAGTAAACATGCTTCTCAGCGAGAAGGAAAAGATACCACAGAACGAAGCAGTAGTAGCAGTACAAAGGAGGAAAAAAAGGAGAAAGACAAAAATAGAGACAAAGAGAAGAATAAAGACAAGACTCCCAAAAGGCCATCTACACCTGTGAAACCCCCATCTACCCCACCTAAGCGTCCATCCACTCCTCCTAAGAGGCCTCCATCTCCAAAGAGACCCCCGTCACCAGCCAAACTGTTGGCTCCTCCTCCATCAGCAAAGCTAACTACTTCTCCAAAACATACAACCAGTGTTAAAGCTAGTAAGGATGAAGCTAAAAAAGTTAGTAGTGAAGATAGCAAAAACAGAAGTGAGACAAAGTCTAGTGAAAGTAATAAAAGTGAAAAAAAGAAGAAGGATAAAAAAAATAGAGATGAAAAACCAAAGAAAGACAAACATAAAGACCATGAAAAGAGTGGTGATAAAGTTGCTAAGAGTGAAAAATCAAAGGACTCAAAGGATAAGGATGTGAATAAAAAATTAGAGAAGGAGACAATCAAAGAACCTGAGAAATCTCGTGACAAAGAGAAAGAAAAATCTAAACATAGTGAAGGTGACAAGGAGAAACAAAGGCATAAGCACAAAAAGAAGGATAAAAGCAATAAAGATAGAGATAGGGATAAGGAGAGAGATAAAGATAAAAGCTCCAAGAAGAGTTCAGAAAGTAAGGTTACCGAAATTCGGGACAAAGATAAAAATGGTCTGGCCAATGAATCGAGTCGAGGCAGCGCTGACACCACCAGTGATATTTCAGCTCCTCACAAGAAACAGGCAGCTTCAAGCCCATCACCAAGCCCTATTCGAATATCCTCTCCAATGAAGCCTTCATCAACACCTGAGAAGTCAGTTAGTAGTGTGCCACTGAAGGATAAAATTAAAAGGCCCCTTATATCTGATGATAGTAGTGACTCTCATTCATCTGCTTTGTCAGATGAAGATATGGAACCTCCAGTGAGTAGGATAAAACCAATAAAGACGGAAAGTGGACATGTGCCAGTGGAAAATAAAACTTCTGTGTTACCCACAACTGAACCTCCAAGACCAAACAGCAGGAGTGAAATTTTAAAACCTAAGTCAGAAAACACAAGCCAGGAGAGAAATAGTCTGAATAAAAGTAGCAGTAAACAAAAAGAGAAAAGCTCGAAAAAAAATAAAGAGCGGGAATCAGGTAGCGGTGATGGGGAAAAGCCAGAGAAAGACAGTAAAAAGAATAAAAGGAAGAGAAGTAGTCGAATTGTGGAAGATGTAGATTGTTCACGAAACAATGGTGAAGCTCCATTAAAAATACCGAAACTGGAAATAGAATCTGAAGAACTTCCATTAGAAGCAGAACAAATGGAAGAAAAGGCAGCTGTGGAAGAAATGGAAATTAAAGAAGAATCTGAACCTGAAGATCCTCCTCCTTCAACAACATCTCACCTTACAGAAGAATATGTTTCACAGCTTCGTGAGCTGCAGCACAAGATCATGACATTAGAAGACAATACAGAACTTCAACGAGTAGTGCAGGTTATTGCAGAAACGGGCCAGTACGAAATCACCAAGAAGACTTTCGACTTTGATCTGTGTGCCCTGGACAGGAGTACAGTTGAGAGGCTTCAAGAATTTTTTGCACCTTCTTGACATACAGATCAGACTGTAATGAGTGAAGGTTTTGGCGCTACCTGATTAATATATAATTGTACTACATATGTTGATCAAATTTGGCCTTTTTGTACGTGTGATGACAGAATGACAGATTGTGATAAGCTTTCCACATTATGATTGGTTGTGGAAAAATCTTGAGACGTGCCACAGGCATAATGTTTATATCCCTAAACATGTGTTAGGATAATTTTATCTAATACACTTTTCGATCTTGAATTGATAAATTAGTAATTTCTTATATACATCCATGAAGATGTTAATATCTTCTGATAAGAAAATTTATTTAATCAATGTTTTCAATTTTTTGTCATTTTGTTATTTCTAATTTCAATATCCTTGAAGATAATGTGATTAATTGCTATTTGTAGTTGTTTTGATTAAATGTTTTTGAATATTTTGTTACGTTTTGTTTCTGCATCTTTCAAATTGATGATGTTGCTTCTAAAATAGATGCTGATAATATGTACAGTTTTACTTCATTTCTGTGCATTCATTACCAAAAAAAATTTATTGATCTGCAGTTTCTCAACAAATGACAAAAATCATGATTTTATTTTATTGTTGAGGTAAAGATATTATCTCATTCGTGTGTTTTGGGATATGACAAATTAGAAGCCTTCTTTTACAACGTTGCAATACTTGTTTGAATGTTAAAAAGTACAGAAGTACTTGTACTTGCAAAGTACCATGTTATAAATCTGTGTGAATGATTATATTATTTAAATGTTATTATGAATATTGTGTTTAGTATTTTGTTGTCCTGCTTGTTTTGAGTTTTTATTGTAGTTTTATTTGAAAGATCTCGCTATTACATTAGCTAATGTACGCTGCTTTGCACTTGTGGACTGATGTGCATAATTGTTATTGATTTTGAATGTGAGGAAAATATGAATTATAACTGATGGCATCTATGAATAGTCCATATTTTGACAGTATGTATGTGGTATCATGTATTACAGTTTCAGATGTAAATAAATCTTGATATTTGCCATTGGGAAAAGATACTGATATATTTATATATATTGCATTAGGGACATTTATGTCTGGTGGTTTCTTTAGTGAACAAAGCTGACCAGAAATGATATTTTATTGTGTAAAAACTATTATTTAGTTAATAAAGCATTTGTCATTGATTCTGATTAGAAGTAAGTTATGAACATAATACTTTGATTTAACTTTTCAACTTGGAGAACTTGAAATAAATGACTGAATGAACTAGGATAATTATAATATTTAACTTGTTCATGTGGACTGATATTCTTGAGTTCCTTAATTGATTAGAACTGTTGCAGGATTTTAATCAACTTATTCCACTCGTTTCTTTTGAGTGGTGAAATATGACAAAATATCCTGGTCAGCTACAGCAATGACATACTGATGTCCAGCAAGCCACTGCCTTGTGGTATGAAAGAGAATAAAAAAATTGTAACAGTATCTTGCAGTAAGCCTCACATCTCTATTGACTTAATGTATATTGTCTTGTTTTGTTTACAATTTCCAAGAGTAAATTAAATATTTATATTTGTGTGTTTATAGAAAATTCAAAGCATAATACTGCTTTGAATTGGACCTTCCTTTTCCTTAAAAAATATAATAATAATAAATAATTTCTCCAGACATGATTGGTATTTTGGATTTATTTTCATAAAAATTTGTTTTTAACCAGTTAGAATCAAATGTGGTGACCATTTTCAAAAAATTTCAATTTTTTAAAAACTTTTTGAATGGATCTACTGCATTGTATTTCATAAACAGTTGTGTTTACATTCCATTTTAGGCATTATTTGTGGAGCACTGGTCTGGGCATGCAGTATGTTTGATATCAGTACAAAATGTATAATACATAGATTTGTTTCTGTGTTGACTTGTACCCGTATCATCACAAAGTGCACTGCAAGTTTGATAGTGTGATAAATTGTAAACTTATTGAGTGCACTACAATTTTTTTTGTTATTAACACACTTTTGTTGTCTCTTCTTTCTTATTTTCACCATTCAAAGCTTAACTCTTGTAAATAATAGTGTGCTTGAAGAGTCAGGCAGAATAGAGAATAGGTGTTTCATTAACTTAGTTTACTCTAGCATTTGTATGAGAATGCTTATTCGTGTTTTGCATGTATTTAAAAAGAAATTAAAATTGTATGTGATTTCATTGTTTTTGTTTTGAATTTTATAAACTTTTACATTTGTATATTTTTGCTGTAATTGTTTTGTTTGGTTTTTCATCTGGTCTTATTATGGTGTGTTATTTCAGAATCTTTTGTACTGGCACTATTGTAGTAAAAATGAGCATAACAATTTGATAAAGAATGAGAGAACAACATAAAATTGATTTTTGAGAATGTTCAATGATGTGGCAATAGTCTTAAACCACATCAGAACTACAGAACAGTGTCACACTGTTTTGAAAGATTCTGACTGATATTGAAACTGAGCTAAATGCCATTGTTTTCCTGTATAAAGAACATTTTGCCATGGATAAATTTGTTTTGAAACATAAGTGCATTAAAAAATCACGATACCATGCAATTGGTGCATTATAGAATTTGCAAGACTTAAAATGAAGTATATATGATAAATGTGTCAAAGAAGTTGTTAAAATACAAACGAATAATTTTTTGTAGATATTACATAGTGAAAAGAAAATAAAATTATTCAAGAATGTAAGTCTTTAATTGTCCCTGCTAGTCCTTACCCGTAGTAATTATAAAAGTGTAGGAATCAGTACATTTAGTGTTGAGAATTTTCTTAGAATTGTATGTTCAGAAATCAATTCTGCCCTCTTCTAAATACTAAATGCAAATTCCACGTTTCATTTTAGTCTACAAAGCTCGATGGTAGCTCAGAAAAAATTGCAAAAAAAATATGTTTCCTGTTCATCTGATTGTATTTTATCTGATGGATCGGCGTTGCAAGAGCTACAGGAAGTATGCTGGTGAGTAGAATTGTGACCTCAGTGAGTGCTCTAGGGTCGAACAAGCGACAGCGCGGTGCCAAGCTGTGATACGTGCAAGCTAGATTTATGCAACTTTCAATACTGGCTAGAATTTATTCGCTGTTCGCAAAAACGACGAGGCATTATAAACGTTTTCGTAGCAGTGGGTGTATGTCGCAGGGAGAAGAGATACTCATTTGATCTGATCGACGACAAATCGAAACAGCCATGAGCCTACTACCACCTGACGAAGAACAATTACGAAAAATTTATGAGCAAATGGGTGTGACCGAAGAAAGTCTAGACAGAGACGTGATTATTTTACAAGAATGGCTCACAAAGCAGCCACATCTACCTTCACCAGCAGGTACCAACCACAATTATTTAAGTGGATAGCACATTTGATTAATTTGAAAGAGCACATTGATTTAAATTTCGCAATCGCGCTTCCAAAGCGTTTTTGACTCGATTGGACTTGGTGTCGCCCGCATCCGCGTCGAAGTATCGAGACTCGACAGCCTTTCCGTTATCGAACTCCCGGCCATCCATGCATAATCCATACCTAGCGGCAAGACGCGGCCCGCGACGCTCCGTCGTCGTGAAACATTGATCGGGCCTTGGGCTCAAGTTGGCGGTAAACCCGTCAATATCTAGAGGCATGCTTTCGCCATATGGTTCACTATTCTACAACCTACGTGAATGAGACGTACTTCGGGATTGGCATAATTTGAGGTTTGGAAGTCGGCCATTCATTTGCATAGAAAAAAAAATGTTTAAAAGATTGCACCTTCCGTAGTTGGTTTTTCATCTCTCAGAGGATAAGAGAAGGAATTGCGTCAGTGTGCTGTTATAAAGCCAGCATATTTTCAGTAAACGTGGTAAAACAAATTATATTAAATATGAAATTACTACATTATGCGAGGGAATGAATTAACGTTTCAATCATAGGCGTGCGCACTCTTAAATATGATGAGAGAAATTGCTATTTTGGGCCCCCTTTTCCTTTAAAATGTTTAATTTACACAACACGTATTTCACTAATATGTAAATAAAAAACATACTACAAGGAGAATGAAACTATAACTAATGATACAATTATTAATTACATTTGATTTCATGTTAGACCATTTACAGGGTTACCAATTAGCTTGGGAGCCTCTATCCTAAATGTACAAAAATTCCTCAAATTGTAGGGTTGAAAAATGGAAAATTAAGGGTTTAAACAGTTTTACGGAAATAAAATGATCATTTTTTTAGGCTAAGTTTTCAAGGAGGGGAGACGATTTTTACGGTAACGTCACGTTTCTCATGTTTTAAGAAAACGCTTCACGCACGTATGTAAAATCCCTTGTTTTCATACGATCGTACTTTTCCCATTGGTCGGAATATAACGCCTGAAAAACCATACACACACCAATGTTTGTAATAATTATTTTTAAATAGTCTATATCTCGACTTCGAACAACTTCTCAATTTCATTTCATAAAAACTTTCATAGTATTGTATAGTCGTATGCCAGTTTCTGCGATGTGTTTGAGAAGAGGTCAGGTTTTTAATACCTAAAAATATTGGAATCACTTCAACAATACGATCTCAAATTGGTGGTCGTTGAATCCGTGTTTAAGGTTGTTTTAAGCTGTAACTTCGTACATACATCCATATTAAGGTCTGCAAGTGAGCTTCCAAGCATTAATGCCAAGTGGCGCGGAGATATAAGCAATTTAGATTACCCCCAAATCGGGATGAATGGATGTGTCACTCATAACTCTGTCAAATTATAAGTTTTTGCGCTGTAACTTGGTAAATTGATAAGAAGTAATGTTTATTAGTGTTATTTCAGAGATCATTAAGATATTTTAATATTTTTTGGAGGGGGGCACTTTACATGAAGTCCCTGCGATATTTTCAAAACATTTCGGGATTGTCTTAATGGGGCAATAATTAAATCTTCCAACTATATTTAATTTTTGCGAACGATTCCACAGTGTGCATTCCACGATTCCACGTTTTTGGAAATATGTCATAATAAATATGACACCCAATATACAATTTGCATTATGGCGAGTGCTCTAATTGCAATACGAAAGGTCCATGTTGCAATATTTTAATGAAATTTTCGAAATAAAATAAGTGCTAGTTTCGTAAAGGCTCTGTCATTCAGTTTGATTATAATGACAAAAATGAAGTAATGTAAGGGTAAGAAATTGCATTGACCTTCCCTACCCTCCAACGGTCAAGGTGAATAAAGTAATTCTCCACTGAAACACGCACAGCTTAAACAAATGAAATCATGCCCACCACTCCTCGGACTTTAGCACACACATCCCAAGTACCAAGATCTCTCACTTGGCGTATAATGCATTCATTTCTTCAGAATATGCTTCACTGAAGGAATGAATATTAATGAGTATATGTTATGATTTACACCGTTCCAATTCTATCTCCAGTTTCCCCCTCACTTCACGACCATATAGTCAAACGACATTGGGGAAGTTTTCTGCAATTTTCTTCCAGCCACGATTGTAGAAATTGTCTGCATTCATTTGCTATTTATCGCCCTTAGTTACCTTCTGTTCTTTTTCATTTCCTTTCTCTTCCTAATTACAATTTTAAATTGATAAGACCTGATTTCGAAACACGTTTTTTGCCATATCTTTGCACACCCAGTAATAAGTTTACATAAACGTTCATCATTATTTGATGTCACTATAAGAACATGATATTCACTTCATGAACTTTTCTGTTTTATTGCGCTGAATGAAACGCTCTTACCCCTACTTCTCTTTGTGGGTGTGTGAAACACCATAAATAGTTTTATTGGTTTCACCTTACTCTTTGTACTTCGTAACATTCGTAAACATTTGGTGTTGCATTAGGTTGAAGCAACGCATTGTCGATACCACAGCGGGTTTTCGCACCCGTTTTAGGTTTCGAGAGGGCGAGATGAGGAGCCACGCGCGACGAGTGCCAGCAGTATTTCGTCGCGTGCCGCCATCCCTAGTCCACACACGATCCTTCGTCACGCCCTGCCTCGGGCTGGCGACACTCAAGTCGAAACACAAACAGATCGATTATAAATTTCTTTATTCGTCATAAACTAATAAATCATCATCAAAAACGCCACTCACATGTCCGTTTTAATTCAAACCACTCTTTAAACTCTTCCATTGCTAATATGAAGGAAGTGTGAAATTTCAACGAAATCTGTCGAATAGTTTTTGTGTATACGTGCGAGGCACATAGGCACGTTCTCTTTTATTTATACAGGATGTCAGGGGAGGAAATGTCAAAATTTCTAAAATAAGTTCTTAAGACAATTTTATGCATATTTTGTCTAATATAATACTTGGATATTCCGAATGGCTAAGCGGTTATAAGCACTCAAAAGTTGTTTTGAAAATATGTTTTCTACGCAAAAATTTGTATTCTAGAAGTATCGAAATAGTCTAGAAACATTTAACTGTTTATTATTTACAATAGAAATAAATATTTTTGTTCTGAAAGCCAAATTAATCCAGAAGTAAAAAAAGTAGGCGATTTGTGTAAATTGGGTTCTTTTTTATTTCTGTCAAAATATTCTTTATATTGTCTTAAGAGCTTATTTGCGAAGTTTCGATGTTTCCTCCCCGGACTCCTGTGTATATTGTGCAGCAGTCACCAAAATAATTGTTTTAAACCCCTCACTTTATAGCAGATAAACAAGTTTCCAACTGTTGGGATAGCAAACTCTGAGTCAGTCAACTATACCCGTAGTGTGCCTGAAGTTCATGTCTGGTTTTTGTGTGTTTCAAATACGGACATTAGTTTCTAGAGCCTGGAAGTTTGGCAAAATGCCTTTTTGTTTTTATAATTATTTTACAACTTTTAACAAAAGGAATCACTTAACTGTATTTCTGGGGTTGTTTTAGTAGATTTTTATTTTGCCTTTTTTAGCTTCTGGTGCCCTTTTTTTTGCCATTTTGTCTTATTTTTTACTTTTTCTACCCTTTACTTCATTATTTGCTTCTTCCGCCTCATGGCACCGATCTTGATGAAGCTGGCTTTACACCTGCAAGCCTGGACAACACGAAGACACGGTCGTGCTTTGTCTTCCTGCGGAAGTAGAGTTTGTGTTAAAAATTTAAAAGAAAAAGGACGATAATACTTGTATCAATCGAGATTTCTTATTTTTTCACTGTGGCGACAAGCTGTGTTCGCTCACGAGTAATCCCATCCCACGTTTGAAGATGACCTGCGATCCCTTCAGAGGATAGCCCTCCGTATATGATATTCCCTTCTCGCTGTTGGCGATTACACTAGGGCGAAGAACGAAGAATATAATTCCGTTTTCACTGATGTCATCTCAAGATTCAAAAGGGAGTACACAATAGCAATTCGAGCGAGTAAAATAAATTCGTAACCCTTCTACCGGATAGTAATGTGGAATCAAATCCCGAGAAAATGCGATTGTCATTGTTTACATCACTTTTTGCACCCCCGCTTTAGCTAAAACAAACGCATTTTTATGCATATTTTAGTAAAAATATGCATTTTTATGTGCATATTTTATGTGAAATAAATACCTGAACTTACGGCCTCTATTAAATTACATTCCACTTCTATGTGTTTTTAAAGGGAAATTCGTCATATAATCTGTTGAATTGAATCGGTTCGATAAAATGCAAAATGACATTTCACACCGAAAGTATGTGTATCATCCCGACAACAAATTTTTTTTTGTTCCCAAGTGTGATTACATGTGCACATGATTTATAAATGACACAATATCATTTCCTATCAACCAATCCATTCTATGGGAGAGGCTTATTCGATACACTTTCGCCTGCGAGCGTATGGAATGAATGTTGAAAGTTGCCGTGCAATGTGGAGCTTTTTGCGTTCGATGAATTGACAAATAAGGTATTTGAGTACCATAAGGATTTCCAAAATTTAGAACATCTTTGCGAGTAGACATTCAAACCTGCTGCGCAACGCAAATCATAGAACAGCGACACATTTAGATTTCACGGATCTGAAACTGATGCTGGAAGAAGTCCGACGTTGGTGCGAGAAATTTTCGAAAAGGTTGCGTTCAATAAACAGACTACAAGACACGTGTCGTTTATAAGTATAGGCACGGCATTATGCAATTGATAAATTATATCAATATTATTCGCAGAAATTTCTCTGTCTCCCCTCTCTTAACGGAGAAAACGCTTTCTACGCCTGTGGATTATGCAATCCCTCCACGAAATCTCTAAGGCGGTCCCTTTAAGTTCTTTGAAACTAATTTTGTTACCTACGTACTCTAGTAGACTTTTGGCGGGAATTCCTAGTCGAGGGAATTGGACGTCGACCCTGTCTGCAAATGACAGGGAATACATCAAA